TGGTGCCGTCAGGGATTCTACGTCAGTTTTCCTGTAATAGTCACTTTCTCAAAATAATATGGTATAAGAATAAAATAATGATAAATATACGCACGCTGCTTAAAAGTTGTAATACTAATCAAGTATGCACGTCTGCTGTATTGTGCAACTGGCCATAATTAATTTTTAAAAATTGAGATGACTATTAATGTTTCACACGTCAGCGTCATAGTATATGACGACATAACACACGCATAAACCTATAGTTATACCATGGAGGTATACTGTTAGATCATGGTTAGACGTAAAGCTGGTTATAAACAGTCTATAAAATGGTTACGAAATGAATGTATAATTTATGGTTATTACCGACGGGGTCACCGTGGGATGTGGAAACCGGCCGCGTGCCACCTCGCACACGCGTCACAGGATCAATGGGGAAGATAGAGGTGATACAGACCTACGGCAAATGTGATTAAGAATTATGAAATTGATTGATTTATGATTAAGCCTGACGGGAAAAAGATTTGTGACCTTTCGCATCGTAGTATAAATAACGGTTTCAATGAATAAACCACTTTAATGCACATAAATTTTTTATTATTAAAATCAAACAACACAGTAGTTGTAAAGACGAACTAATTTGTTAAAATTTATAAGGAGACCCAAGTAATAACTGAAATACAGTGCCTTTAAATGATAATTTGTTGGCGTTATTTGTTTACAATTGGTAATTAAGAGCGTCTATTTTTGTTGTGGATGCTTTAAACCTGAATAAATACTTGTAAATAAATAAATAATTTTAAAGTTCGAATAGTAGGGGCTTCCAATTCTTTATCTCTAGTATTTACGAGTGCTAGTATAATATATATTAAAATAAATTTTATTTCCAGCATTCTCGCACATTTTTTAGAGTTAATCTCAGTAGCGTGGCGCCTATGCGCTGTCGTGCGGCGGTCCGCAGGGGCCCCGATCCCTAGGGTCCCCTACCTATAGGGTCTCGATCAGTAAGAGTTTGTTGATCGGCAAAATGGCTTTGTTGATACATAACAGAATAATGTGTCTCTGACATCGACTGTAGGACACATATTGTTTTATATCCAGTGATGGATTAAGGGGCCCATAAATTTGTCAAATTTGATTTAAAAAAAAACAAACAAAAAAAACATACAGTATTCAAATGTTAAGTCTGTGAGTGCCATTTCCGGCTATGGTCTAGAGGTGCCGTAATAATAAATTTTCTTTCTTCAACCCATGCCAGGGCTGAGGTGGTACAGACCCTTTATCTGTGAAAATCCCTGTGCCCCACTACTATTGAAAATTACTACTAGATCCGCAACTAATATCATAATTTTTTCCGTCATTATATAAATTTATACAATGATTAAATAACACATCTAAACCCCACATTGTAATTGGCGACCAGTACCAGAAAAGGGCTCCAGTCTCGGAAAGCCACTGGGCCCCCAGCCCCAGCGTTAAGCCACTTGTTATTCTCTTAAGTATCATTAGGCTATCCATTCAGATGTGATAATAATGATAGACTTATCTGTTAATTGCATGTGAGTGCTTCAAGAACTAGTGCTGTACCATAGCCTATTTAGACACATGTAGGAAATTGCCACAGGGAATAATTTGCAACAATACTGACTTCAAAAAAAGTTGTAAAGATTGTTGTCTGTTTTGTTTTTATTATCATTTCTCTCGATTACAGTACAGTGATCATATCTCCTCTGTACACAATAGCTATTTTAACCCTAAACTCCTAAATCTAAGTACAGTAACATCTAAAATTCTGTGCAATGCTTCTCACAAAATGAATGAGGTTAATACACATTCATGAGGCTTCTGTGAATAAATTAACAGACTAATACATATTCATGAGGCATTTCTTAAAGATTACAATATCACTGGGTTAATATATATTTATGAAGCAGCCATGATGAAATTATTTGGTAATCTCTATTCATGATGATGGGAATTATGGTGACAATCAATGATGGTGGTAGTAGTGGTGACAATGATGGTGATGATGTTGATGGTTTTGGTGTTGGTGGTGGTGTTAATGATGGTGGTGGTGGTAGTGGCAATGATGGGTGATGATGATGAAAATGACGATGATTGTGATGATGATGATGACACCAGATGATGATGGTGGTGGTGATATTATCAACACTGAATGAAGCTTCAACTGTTGTTAGGTAGCATCACAAAAAACAAAATTACATTATTCAAAGGAAGCCAGAGAAAAAATAACTTGACACATTTTATTGAATGAGAAAAATTTGATCAAGAACGTCAAGTTAAAGAGCAATAAACTTTGTGATGAAACAATTTACACATCACATAATTTTAAAAAATATATTGGTATGTATTGATACAATGGACCCTTCCGCTAAGACCCACCATTTAGATATTGTTGCCTATGGTCCACAAACCTACAGCGTAAACATAAACATGTGCATTTGCAGGATAAAATGTGTATTTGTGAGACATGCTCACATTTCTGATGGTTCAAATGCACTGATATTGTACACAATTTCAAAAACCACATTGATACAAATTCATATTAGGAAAATTGTACCAAAAAAAAAGATATGTCTTAAAGACACCTCACAAGGTCAAGTACTAAAACCACTTCATAAGAAACCTGAAGCCAATATTCATTGCAAGAGAGGGAAAAAAAACCACAACAGATTTAGATTCTTGGTCCATTTTATATAACACGATAAGTATTTTTATTTAAAATATATTATCATCAAGGAAGAATATTTCTATAAGCTATTTGTTATTATACTGTAATATACAGTGATCTAAATTCATTTCTGGGGATATGATCACAATGTACAAAAGGTAAGCAAACTGTGAGATGCATTATCTATTAGCATTGCATGGGCTTACGATATGCCCTACTACAGTATAATATCTACCATTGTATGAACTGATAATATATATGCCGTACTATAATAATTACCATTGCATGGGCTATAATCTTCCTAGATAACAAAATGACTAACACACTTTAACTGGCAACATTCAAAGAGTACATTAATTAATCTTGAAAAGTGTATATGATAAACGTATGTGCACATGATAGAAGTAGCAATTTTTACATATAAAACATTTAATATGTTGTAGAAGCAGACAACCCTCACATTGTCAGGTACTAAACCTATAAATTAATGAAGCCAGAACATTTACAAGATAAAATGAAATAAATGAATTCATCACTAATGATAATTAGAACAAAATACATGTTACGCATGATGTAGCATACAATCACCCGTGTAGCAACTTGTAGTAGCTTGCTATAAGAATACTAATCATATTGTAAAGCCCATTGAAATCAACTGATAAAAAAAAATACATGCATATGTACAGAATGAAATCTGAAGTCATCATAGTAGCATGCTATAATATGCTATGTATTAAACTAAACTGCTAAAAATTGTTATGCATCATGATACAGTATATGAAATGTGTAGCAAGCATTCATTTTGCAACTCCATAGCAATGTGCTAATACATCACACTACCCAAATGTAGCATATTTATCTAGCATCCTATTCTTAAGATGTAGTATTTCTAGCATATTTACACACTAGATGCACAGAATGCTGTACAGATGCGTAAGCGTACTGTAACAATACAACAGTAGAATGTTACTGTTGCACTTTCTAGTATATTTACAGTACAAACACGCATAACATACTCTAAAAGCAGCAAATTCAATAATAAGTTCCTTTTTATGTTTATATAATATAGGTCAAAGTTCCAATTAATTTTATTTTTTAGTGTTTAAATATTGCATTTAAAATAACTTTGAAAATAAATATTTTAAAAATATATAAAGGAAGTATTTTTTGAAAAAAAAATGCATTGTGCCCATTTGTTAGGTATCCCGTCTGAGGTATGACGGCAAGTGGGTGCTTTCTTGGAATTTTCCATCATGGGTGAATTTTCCTCAAGGTATTGCATTTTGCTATACCTCATAAATATTTATTAGGTAAATAACATTGGTCAATTCCACTCTGTACTTTATACAGTATTTCGGATACTACACCTCAAGTGATGTCAGAAAAAAAATAATACCCTAGAACAAATATGATTTATTTATTTTTGTTATTTGGTATTTATATAGCACCTTTCCTTTAGGTTACAAAGCGTTTTTTCCCTGGTAATTGGGTCTACATGCTTAAAGTGTTGCTGCCATATTGGCACAGTAGCAGGCAATCCTGCCATGTACCATTTATACTCTTGGGTGGAGGGAAGGAACGCATATAAAGTGCCTTTCTCAAAACAAATACATGTTCATATTTTTGTAGG